GGCATTGTTACTCAGTGTTACCAAAAGACTTCATTTTGTCAGCGTCTTCACCAAACAAGACTGCGTATTCTAAATCGATAAGTGGACCTCCTGGTAGATCAATGCCCGAAATTTCAATCGACGAGAGCGTTGTTTCCGGCAATAGGTCTATGATGAAGTTAAACAAAAATGGAGATAGTGGACAGCCTTGTCGGACACCACTTGATGTTGTAAAATCAGATGACAGTCCGCCATAAGCTCTCACTCGACTAGTCGTGTTCTAGTAAAGAACTTTCACAAGGTTTATGTACTTCTGAGGTACACTTTTCAATGACAGACACTGTAACAGAACCTCTCGGTCTACAGAGTCAAATGCTGCTTTAAAGTCAAGAAAAACTATCATCATCTGACGTCGGTAAGCATGCGTGTGTTCTAAAATCTGACGACTGGTGAATGTGTCGTCGATGCAACCACGGCAAGGTCTGAAGCCGGCTTGATTTTCTCGTGTTTGCAATTGACGAGTCTTTGTTAGGCGCCCGATAATTGTTGAGGTTAGTATTTTGAATGCTATGTTGGTCGAACTAATCCCTCTATGGTTATCACAAGATGATTTCGATCCCTTCTTATATATTGGGACAATCAGTGATTGCGACCAGTCGAATTGGATTACGTCCAACTCCCAGATTTTAGCTAAAATGTTAGTCAACCTAGACCACCATTCTTAAAGACATCTTGAGCCAATCCAAATGCTCTTCCTCGTTTAAGATTAGCTAGAGTTGGTGGGCCCACTTCAATGTTCTTCCATTCAGGCTGTTTGGGAATGGTGGGTAGTTGTGCAGTAGCTGAAGGCCAGCTAAACTGCTCCCTAAAGTGTTCCACTTATCGTTCTAAATGTCTGGGCTGAGAGCAGATGAGAGTCTCATCTTTTACCGAGATTGTCTCTCTTACAATTGACTTCTTAATTCCGGTTTCTTTTATTAGTCCGAAGAGTTGTATGGTGTTACCTACAGCCTCTGCCTTTTTCATCTTTGCTTTTGTCGCCCACCACTGCTCACAGTCGTTCCTTAGATATTCGGTTAACCTAGATCTGGTTTGCTTTCGCTCTTCATTGTGTGCAGACGCTGATGAGATGAATTTACGAGAACCCATTAGTGCAATAGTCTTAGTAGAAATTCATTGGTTTTTTTGTAAGCTTTTGGTTTAAATTACTAATAAATGTTACTGCTGTTTCCATAGCCATTCGTTTATCTTTCCAAGCAACATCTGAGTCAGCCTCCTTTTCCAAACTGTTTAAGTGTGACCTCAGCTGTTCCTGGAACGATGAAAAGGCAACGACGTGTGTCCCTATCCTTCCGAGTTCTCACAGAGCCATTTAGCCGAACAGCACACAGTTAACGGAGATTCACTCTAGTAGTGCTTGTCCTGCCCTCGTACTTAGTGCTATTCCTACACCTGCCAGTCCACGAGAACTGCCATGTCTTATATTTCACCTTACTCTTGGTTGTTGCATCAACCTTTACTTCATAATTCAGAAATTATTCGATTTGTTTATTTTACCATTGGAGTCTTCTGTACTTGAGAAGTGCTTTTTAGTGATTGCAAATACGAACCATGTGTACTGAATGAATCATGTCCAAGTACCTTAAAGTTTTCTTTAACAGTGTAGCATGATTCAGAGATGATGTTAATTTGGTACAAAATATTACAATGTAACAACTGTATTCTACCACAATTCACTACAGTCTGGGGCGTTTTCTGGAGTTCGGGCATGGTTATGTGTCTATATAATTTGGTTAATATGGTCATAGTCTTGGACGTAGTATTTAACTACAGACGTGTTGTCTATCCGTTTAGTTGTAAGCATTACTATCAACTACGAATGCTATGAACAGGCTTTTTGAATGCATGTGAGATTTGGGCGTGTAGGACTTTCTACGTTTTGCTATCGATCTGGTGGTGTTAGGACGTTATACGCAATACTCATCTCTGTTTAAAATCAATTGCATTGTTAGCAACAATGTTTCTTGCTTCAGCGACATTCCTGACAGTCTCAACATGTTTATGGAAATGTTTTCCTGGTGTTGGTTTATAGGGGGTTGACTGGGTAAATGCTTTGAATTTGTAACCATATATAATGTACTGGATTGTCTTGGTTACTACAACATCACTGTGCAATGTTTGGGGTTTATCAGTCGTTGACATTCCGTATTAACTAACTGTAGCGTTATCAAGAGGTCTTACTTAATTTCAAACTTGTGGGTATCTTCATCTCTTGGAGATTTTATTCCACAGACAAAAATGAAACACTTGAAGCGTTCACATTATCTTTTAACAGTGCCTGCGTAGGTGATAAGGTCTTCAGTTTTCGGTTTTATCAATACTATTAATATCTCGTATTAAAGTGAAGACTAGTTTCTAAAAATCTAATCCAATTTCTTTCATGTGTCTTTAAGATTGTGAACACTTGTCCAGAGTAGCAATATCAAGTTTGAGTACTTTTCATGTTCTGTGGTACCGGGAGTAATAACAAGAAAATCAGAGATTTATTAACGATTTGTTCTGTTGCCGATGTAGTTCAGGACTCAGCAGCCTGGTTCAGTGTTATAGAATGTAGTCTCTCTGTCACAGCTGTCAGTTTCATATCCTGGTAAGACATCAACTTGTAATCTGGATCAGTCAAAATTGTTTCTGAAATAACCGTCATCCCTGTCAAATCGGACTGAAACATGTAAATTAACCTTATCACTACAGTTATAACCCAAAAACCTCCCAAAATAACACATATACGGAATATTAAACAAAAGAATAAATATGTTTAAAAGCCATTTAATAAGTAAATAATTGGAGAATATGAAAAGTATAGGCCATTCACTCTCCAACTATCAGGGTTATCACATGCCTCATCATACCAACTCAGAAATCACAAAGAAAAGTAGGCTATGAAACCAAATTGAAGCTGGCGCCAGACGCGCTTTCTTTTCCTGTCAATACCATTAAATGGGAATGAAGACTTCAAACTTATCTTGTTTGGTTTACCTGTTTTTAATCATGACTATTGTTCCTTGTTCTAAGCTTTATGATTTTGGTGTTGTGTTATATTATGTGAGACTTCTCGTAATGATCGTGTCGTGCGAAGTTGTCTAGATAATCACTACGGTAATCTTTTTTTTCCAGAGTTTTGATTTTTGGTTAGATATGTGCCTAAAAATAAAAGAGAAGTATTAAGCTTTGTCTCAACCCTCTCAAAGTCATAAGAAACTATATAATGTTAGGTGAAATTTAGTAAAAAAAATCTGTCCGTTCTTTTCGGGTTAAATGAAGGAATTGGTATTTAGGTGTAAAATTTTTTAGAAAAGTAAATGACACTAAATTGTTACACTTTGTGCCGTCATTATTATTGATCTTATCGTTAATTGCTTACTTGCCTTCTATTACCAAACTGAGATGTTTATGGATTGGTTGATCTAAATAAGCCAAAATCACAAACTCTGAAAGTCTATATAAGTTTGTTCGTTATTTTTAGTGAACTCACTCTAAATTTTATACCATCATATATTTTCCCTCTCTATGAGTTAGATGATCTTAACAGCAATTGCTTTATAATTTATGTGTATCCCCTAGCTGTTTGTTAGTATCTTTTACTACCTAGTAACACCAAATTTGCGTATCATGATGTACAACATGTGTGGAGACTCATCTGTCCCTGTCGGCATACTCATACCCTTATACGTATGTACATCATGTACTGTGTATCTTTGAAATGCAAATTACTTTAGAAAGATTGACAAGAACCTGTGCTGCACTCATTCTTTTTGGGGTAACTCGTTAGAAATATTCGAGAAGTTCATGTATCTGTGTTGGGTCATGAGAGGGATGGTGGTGGCATGACAACTCAAAATGAATTACGTACAGTGAAAACTAGAATGGCTCATACCAATCTGTAAAGTCATTGGGAACGTTGTGATATTAGTTTGGCTGTATATAACCGGGTTTACAACACGTGGGTAAGAGCTTTTCTGCTTAGCTCGTGAAAACTAGCGTTTGGCGACTTTATTTAGCAATCATTGTCTCCAAAAGGATTGCCTATATCCATTGTCAACACTATGTTAGTAATGTTAAGGTTCAACACTTTATGTCCAAGCCCAGTGGCAATAATTCAGTTCAGATTATCATCTTGAAACATCGACGTCGGTGGCTTGGGCATGTGTCACGATTGTCATCTCATTGATTCCCACATCGTTCATTATCTGACAAATCTGGGACTGGGCGAAAAAAGTGAGGAAATGATTAGTTTCTGACATTGTGCCTTTGCATTAAATATTTCTGCTTAGGGATGACATCTATTGGCCATCACGGTTCTCTGACTAAGGTTATAGATATAGTTCAACTCAGTAGTTTTTGATGCTATCATATATGATTTGAAATAGAAAACAGCGGCTGTGTTGATGTAGTTTTCTGGTGAATGTTTGAGAAAAATGAGATAAACTCCGTTAACTAGAAGACTTTCTTGGCTACATTCTTAGCTGAACGGTACCGAATACCATCCCTCCTCAACTATTTATTTATTCTGTCATCCTCCTCTTTATTTCTTCACAATATTACCACTTCATTTGTATAGCGCATTTTTTAAATGTGGTGAACCATAACCTACGTGTTTTAAATTAAAGAAATGATATCTACACTGGTTTATAGTATACATACCAATACTTTAACTAATTACACAAAATCAAATTATTTTATTTTTTTCAGAATTTTAACGCTGTCCTTAAATCGATATCTTAAGGTTTACGAAATTATTCTGTTACACTTGCCGGTTCATAAAAAAAGAGTAACTGACACTGAACATAAATCACAGTAAAAATGCATTCAAAGTTCATGAAGTAATGTAGCAAAAATGTATTGATTTTCAACATCCTTTTTATTATAACTAAACGAAATATTATTATTGGCTTTTGTCATCTTTATTGATACTCATATTTTCCATATATGTTTCAAGATATATTCATGTGTTTACATTTTAGGTGGCTGGGTTCTAAGCGTTTCATTTTCAGCAGATGGAAATAAATTAGCATGGACTAAGCATAATTCAACAATTTTTGTAGCTGATGCAAGTATTAGTGCCACACCTACTGTTACACGTTTACGAACTGATTTCTTACCTTTCGTCAGTTGTATTTGGATTGGACCATCAACTTTTGTAGCAGGTGGTTACGACTGTTGTCCTATGCTATTTAGATATAATGACCAATCAATCACTTTTGTTCATCAGGTACGTCTATTCTATTGTTAAATATCCATTGGTTGATGTGTATTATAACAACTTGAACTGGTGTATATCTGTACGAAGTCCTATGTTGTTAAATGACTTCAGTGACTAACTACTTTTAAGTAGTATGTATGACTTGCTTAAAAATGCACTTCCTTTATTTTAATACATGGTTATATTTTAGTTCAGTCAGGAAGGGTAAGTAGTCACTGTCGATTCACTAAATACAAACAGAGTCGCTCCATGTTAATGTATATAAATATGTACTACTGTTATTATTCGGAATAGGTCTCACTTATAATATTGTGCAATAACAACTAGGTTTTACTCCATAAGTACTTCTGTGTAATCAAAATGTAAGCATGTAGTATTGTAAAATGATTGGGATTTATCCATCAAGACAATTCGCTTGATATGAATTTTTTGAACCCATAGTATAGTTTGGTTGCATAACCCAAGTAAATGGTTATAATACTGTAAACTGTTTTATAATTTAATAGTGCTACCATTACGTATTATCACGTCACGCATCCTTAATATTTGTGTTCCAGCCCTCAATATACATATATATCTTTTAGTATATCTTCTTATTCCCCCTTTCTGTGCTAATGTGAAGCTCTGCAACTTGAATTGGTGTATTTCGTGTTATGTCCTTTCACATTGAGTTCTTTATGTCTTTTTGAAACAAAACAAACTATATTTATGGTCTATTAGTAATGATTCTCTCAGCTCTTTAAGTAAATGCTGAATCAAACATAGATAAGCGCTAAACCGTAGGACATCTCACATAAGCGCATATACACAAAAACGAACCGTAATTTTCGCTATCTGTCAAACATTCTTCTCAACTAATCAAGGTTTATCGGAAAGGTATTTCTTCGTATTTCTTACCTAAAGTACTTTCTTTGAAAACGAAACACTCTTTTTCTCTAGATAAATTTTATAAAAGGAAACTGGTGGGGACTTATGACTTCACCTTACTTTTTTAGAAAAAGCTACGCTCATCGTGTGCATGATTAACATTTGTACCGTCTAGATAGAAAAGTAGTCAGGTAAAATGAGTTTCTATCGAATGCTTGGAAATGTGTTTGATCGCCTACCTTTTAAATATGGTTGCAAGTCAATAAAATATTGAATAATGCACATCTTAAATAGAAGTATAACCTGGTAATTGGTTTCGTTGTATGAGTATATCATCAAGTGTTTGCGCAAAACTTGCATTATGTCTCGTAAGTTATATTTTTAACTGTTGTGATTCACAAGTGACAGAGTAAATTGGTAATTAAGCAATTTTATCGGAATGAATGGTGATTGCTAGTGAAAAGAATAATATTTGTTTTGTAAATTTCTATATTTGTTGTTCATGGCAGTATCTGAATTATCTTTGCCCCCAACCTAGTTGGATACTAAAAGTGAATCTCGTTATGGTGGAAAGGTAACAGCTATGAAGAAATTTCAAGATATTGATCGCATGGCTACAGCTGATAATACTAGCTCTCGTTTGCCCACAATTCATCAAAATTGCATTAAGTAAGTTCAGCTGATCGTTGTTCTTCATTTTTATTTTATGCTAAGGTTACGTTTGAGTGAACATTAGCATAGTGTTGTACATACAGTCATGTCACCATGTGCAACCACCGCATAAATCGATGGGTTATAATGTCTAGTGTAGTAATAGGCTAGTAGAAAGTTAGGGGCAGCCGAGCTAGGGTGTAACATCAGTCCATAAGGTCATTAGCAATTGAACTGAGTCGTATATTTAGGTGCATACAACCTGGTTGGGGTTCACTCGGATTTTGTAACCAGTGATTTGAAACTGGGCGACGTGAATCAGAATTTTATCCAATGTGAAATGTGGATTCACTCGTTATTTTTCCTTAGGTTTTGGCTTTCTAAGTTATCCTATGATTTTCTTTCGTTACATAAACCCAAAATTTCCCCCAGAACCATGTATTCTACTCCTGATCTTGTATACTACTACTGGTACTGTCAACACTTCCACTTTTCTGGAATTTATCTTGATAATTTTACTTCACTGAGCTAACTTAGTGTGGCAACTCGAACAGATTCACATATATGCTAGGTTCCATGTTGCATATAATTGATCGCTTGAAGTTTGCATAGTAGTAGTGTTACATCCTTGGTCTGTTTACCCACTAATATACAGAAGATAACTTGTTTCAATCTAGATTAGGGCTTGATACGACAAGCTGACTGGTTCAACATTGAGGCTAGAATCGCGTGAGTTGTGTGACTAACTGCCTTGGGTAGAGAGACGAAAACTATCTTATCACCTGATTAACTGATAAGCGACAGAAAACGAGTCCATTGGAACACTACTCAGTTTACCGATTCTGATTCACACTCCGGTTCAGGTACATAAATAATATAGATGACTAACATGACCACAACGCACAAACAATTAGAAAATACATATATGTTCAAAACTAGGCATTAGGGTAGAAAAATAGAGTACTAAAGGTTACTTTTAAATTATAACTTTGGAACAAAAAAGGTACGACAGTAAATCATACATCAAACGAAAGCTTATGGCTTGTAGAATGAAATAGGGACAAAACTGAATGTTAGTATTTTACAAGCATGAAAATAAGTGAAATGACGTCCCCAAAAGTAGCTCCTGTTGTTTGTCATGGCTTTTTTATTTGTTCACATCAGGTAAATATCAGTTTGGTTTTACTCTTTAGTCTTAATGTTTGACTAACTGTCACTTCCCATGAAGTAATCTTTTCACTGTGGCAAAAATTCTGACCATGTCTAATCGTCCCACTTTCTCTATTCAGAATAAGTAATCGCTGGACAACAAGGCTTTAGAAACTCCTAAACTTTCCACTTTTTCAGTCGGTTATAATCAACGTGGGCCCAGCACCATATTAGCACAACAAAATAAAATTAACGAGTTAAATAGCAGAGGAATCGAAATAATGCAGTAGGAAAGGCTAAACATTTAAGTGTTTCTAGAAATTTTTGTAAGCAGGTTGATTTAAGGCTAGTAAGGGGGAAATGAATAGCACTCATTTTTTATCTGCAGTTGAAATAGTTCAGAGATTCGTATGCTTTTTCGTCAGAATGAATTATCAAATAATAGTAAATAAACTGACTCAAGTAAACTTCCCAGTCTGAACTGGTTGGGACTGATAAAGATTTTTAGTTGTTCATCTGTGTTATTTTAATTTCACATTCCTCTGAGCTTTCATTTTTTCGAGACTATTTGAACTAGAACTTATAGATGCCACGAAGACAGTGCCATGTCTCGTTTAGTTTTATGAAAAGCTTTTCATTTTCTCAGTTTAATCAAATATAGGCTTTTACATTTATAACTTGTCACCTAAATTTCACACCTAGTTTACATTGGTTTCAAAACTTTTTTATGTCTCATTAAACTTTTGCTTTTCTGTCTACTCGAAACTTCAGTGAAATTCGAATTCTTAAAGGTGATCGTTCAATGGCGACAGAACTCAGTTCAGTCGGTCGAGATGGTAATCTCGTATTGTGGAACTTCCCAACATTGTATGAACAAATTGCGGATTTGAAGATAGTTTGATGTGTCTCAATAATTTCCTTAGTCAAGAGATTTGGATGTTCATGTTAAACTCTGTTATACAATTTATATTGTGATTACTGCAAATGACAACATAATTACCGTCATCTTTTTTTTACTAATGATTTTCATAATTTGTGTGTAAACTAAGTATTTTGTAATCTTTTTACTTAATTATTCAGAAATAGTTTTTCTCTCTTTCGATCATGTGGGTATATGAATTTGTGTTGATTTTCATGTAAATGTAAAGAACACACTAAAAGAGAGTGAACGTTACGCCTCCATATGACAGTATTCTATTGAGGATTGAACTGAGAAAATTATAGTTATTTGGCATTACTTTTTTCCTCATGTTGTTTTCATTCATTTTGCGAAAACCAATAGTTTTACTATGTGCGGGATCATTTCTCTTGTTTATTCGTTTAATTATCATGGCTTGGAGAGTAGAAGTTCCATCTTGCACTCGCTATCGTAATGTTTGACTAATTTATGCTTTGTTTTTGCGTATATATATATATATATATATATATATATATATATATATATATATATATATATATATATATATATAAATTAAGTTTCTTGACGCTAATATTTTTTTACCGAATGCATTGGAACCACTTACACTAACGTTTTAGTACATGTTAATCATAAAGTCATGTATACAGAGAAATAATTAGTTCTATTCAACTAATTAATCAACAATGATCCGTAGTGTCTTGATTTGGACAAAATATGATCGAACCTTAAAAGATTCAACATGTTTATTTTGACGTTAAACATCTGCCGAATCTTTTACTCAGTTTAGTAACACTGTTGGAAACTATGCTTGTCACTGAGATTAATGTGTTACTTATGTAGTTTGTACAATTACTAAGACCTCCCTTCTTCGGTATATTGGTGAGTCATCCTTCTTCCCAGTCTGTATGTACTTGTTATTCTTCCCAAATCTTTATGGAGAGGACGTGAAACATCTTTGTAGTTAACATTGAATCAAACTTCAATGCTTTAGCTGGTGTGCTGTCTATTCCAACTGCTGCTTTTCGATTGTTGATTTACCCGACTATCGTTGAGTGTGATTTATGGAGTGGTTTACTGTGTGTGATGCTTGGACATCCGGTGAGTTCATTGGTACTAGTCTATTCAAGAGCTCTTCACCCTGATCCACCCACCTGTTCAGTTTTTCCTGAATGTAAGTGGTCTCTCTGGTTTACAATATTTTCATACTAGTTTCTTCGTTGTATCATATAGTCGTCCCGTATTTCTTCTTACAGCTTTTTCCGTTGTCAGTGCTAGGTCTTGCGGTTATTTTCGCTTGTCGGCTCCAATGTTCCTCTCCATTCTCTTATTTGCTTCTATGTATTCGACCTATGGATTTCCTTTCTCTGCTGATGTCGAATGTTATCTTTTTTTTCCTTTCTTGAATCTTGTACAGTCGGACATAGTGGTTCCCTTCTCTATTGGTGTATCTTATGTACCTTGAAAATTGTTGCGCGGACCCACTCCAACCTTGCTGAGCGTTGTAGGTCCTTGAAAAAAACCTGTATTAAGCTCTCATAGTGCTGTAAATCCATTTTTCCAAAGCTTCCCCATTTTCAGCTTGACTAACACCATGTGTTGATGTGAGAGCAAATCTGTTCTTCTCTCTGTTCGTACATCTCCCATGGACCTTGTGGATATTTTATTGATGCCGATATGGTCGATCTGGTTTTTTGTGGTGTGTTTCTGTGATTCCCGTGTAGCTTTGTGTATAGATTTACCAGGAGAAATACTGTAGTTCATAGCCACCATGTTGTTGATGGCACATCGATTCTCCAGTCAGACACCATTCTCGTTACCCTCTCCCAGTCTATGTCGTCCCGTGATGCGTTAATGTTCGGTATTGTCTGTCCTGACTTTGATTTCCAGGTTCCACGTCAGAATAAACAGTGTTTTCCTTCAACATTTGTTCAGGGTGAGTTGGAGCCGTTCGTAAAACTGGTATTTATGATGTTCTCCGTAGTGACTGGCAAGTGCGTTGTACAGGATGGCGTTGATTGTAGTCGTTCGTTTCTTTGTCTTGATTGATGCTTAAATGGTCCTGTAGCCTTGTGTTTCTCATCCTATAAGCGCTTATCATGGTTCTTGGGATAGTGTGAGTGCGACTCGTTGTGCGTATTGAATTTTTTTGTTTGTGAACGAAACACAATGAGTGGTCTGTGGAAGTTAATCTTTTTGTTCAGATTGTGTTTAGTGGGTTTTACTTATTCCAAACATCTTCAGATTGCGTCTACTCATTTTCACTGTTACTTGAATGGTTGTCCCAATCTCTATCAGTTTTCGACATTCCATGTATCTATATTAATTTTGGGTTTTGTTTTTTGTCGTGGGGGATATGGGGTTGATGATTGCCGAAGAATGTGTGCTTTCATCATGAGGCGTGAATAACTGTTGTATCGGAAAACCCTTGAACTTCCATGACTGAGGTTAAGTGGGTTGATTGGGTTACTTTTACGAGGTGTGGTTATTGAACCTGCAATTAGCCTTCCTCCGTTATTAAGGTTTAAAGTTGTCAGCAATCCAAGGGTGCTGCAGGCGTAGTTAAATGTCTTCCCACAAGCCGTCGTCTTTTTCAGCTCTGTGATTATTTAAAGTATAGTTTTCAAAATTAATGTCTTCTATATACTCTGATCTTAACTTCTGTCCTACTGTTTATTCAAATATTGACTAATATTCGTATAAATCAACTGTCATCATTTGTTTATTTATAATATTGAAGTAGCTGTGAAGTCGACCGAATTGTGAATAAATATATCCAAGTATTTATTCCATTGGTTTTTAATATCATGTGAATTTTTATTTCACTAGATTTCCAAACGAGTTTGCACATTGGTTTTAGGAATTTTATTTATTTATTCATAATAAATAATTAACTGCCAATGAAATTAGATATTTTCATCATACAATATAAGTTAACATTCATATCACTGACGTCAAATTTTATCAAGATGACCCATTTAATTTTTTACAATAATTGTAATCTAGTCTTGTTTATTGTTAGATAACTTAAGTGTGTGTTTACGTAGAACTCATCTTAATATTGTCATTGACATTTGAAATGCATAGGTCGTTATCTGTTGTTCGCATGGTATAGCGAAACGGTTTTTAGTTGTTAGTTCTTACTAATAGAGTACGAACTGTTCGTACAAAGTCCAGGAGATTTTAGCACTAAATTGAAGCTGTGCATTTGGTTTTTATGGAGTTAGTAATGGCCCTACCTAAGTAGATGGCAAAGCTTAAATCTGTCACGTTATTGTATTCTGAAGATAAAGAGAAACCATATCCTAGTAGTGTTAGTATAAAGTATTTCGATGGAAGTATCTGTCAGTTGTGCTGTTGATATCTTCTAACACTTTTATATCGCTCATCAACAGGTTTTTTGCAATGAGTTGTATGTTTACCTCGGTCTTTGAACCTTCAGTAAACCTCCTTCTGGATTCAGTAAGGAGTGCGCCATAAGAACCGTTTGCTGAGACTCATAAAGTAAACAAGTTTTGAAAATCAATCGTTGGTGAGCCTTACTTTGAAAACGTTTCAGTGATCTACTCTCAAATCAGAAGTTGTGAACAATTAGTAAATTAGATGAATAGTTAAATTGACGTTCAAATAATCTACCTTTCCATATATGGCATTTGGTTGAATGAATGACACTGAGCCTCCAACACTTTGAGAAGTTGAAATGGATGTAACTTATTTTGATCGAAGATTTCTAGAATCTAATGCACTGACGATAGATATTTTGTAGTGTCTTGGCTTCGAAATATTTTCGCAGTCTTTGTATATCAATCTCCTTGATAACCGTTAATAAATAAATCCAAACGGTGTATGAATTCAGAAGGCAACACGAAGCGCCGACTACAGTTTATCATTAGAGAGCACATATCACAAAGCTACAAGCAAATTTGAGCGGAAAGGGAGTTCAGGGTCGACATAATGGTAGTAATAATAATACGAAGAAATAGATACAGTTACTGTTCGAACAACACTGTTAAATAAGTTAGTTGGAAGGCTTGGTAAAGTTAACCATAAGTAAACTTAATTGTCGGATAGGTGCTATAATCCAGTAGTAGCATGCTAAATGATGAGTTACTCTAATTTTTGTGGTTGGTACTGTTTACTTAGACGGATATCGACTGTTGATAATCTCGGCTCATAAAAAATAAAAAATCTCGTTATATATAACATTGTGTCTAGTATCTTTTCATCTTTACAATAATTCGACACTTCACTGTGGCTGAGAAAACAGGGGACTCGAGTTGAGGTAAGAAGTCTTGATTTTGGTCGTGCAACTCAATCCATTTTATTCTGGCTTATGTATCTGCCAATGAATTTTAGAACATAGGTACACCTATAGGTATCATTACCAAGTCTTGATTTGTTAATTTTGAATAAATTGAGTATTGGGTAGATTGTTTTATTCTCTGAAAAAGTGGCTTACACTGAGTCACGAAACGTCAGAAAATCTAATTTTTTTACTCATTGGGATATTACAAATATATAATTTATTTAAAAATAGGTACACCTAGTTATATTAGTACAGATTTTCAATTAATGTATTAAATTAATCACAGAACTGCCTAGGTGATATGTTTTGCACTTAACAATTTATCTACACCAACTTTCGAAAGAATGGGAACTTAACAAACCAATTAATAAGTTGTCGAATTTATGTAAAGTAGTCTTCCCTGTATAATTTACTTAAAATATTGTGGTATAAAAATGTATAGATGAAAACAATACAACCATTATATAATTTCTATGGCTTATTGTTGAACTCTCAATGACAGAAACAGACGTTTGTTCTAACAACGCTCAATAAATTATCGATATTCTTATAAACTTCTCGTAAACTAATGTCTCTGACAAGGAACTGCAACGTTTTGAATATGCTAATCTCGATAGCTGCAGCCAGTATACTTGCACAAAAGTAACAGCTAAAAGTTTTCTAACGAAAGAACATAGAA